TCTCCCCCCCTTACAGGAGCTGTTCCTATTTAAATATTTAAACCAACATACGAAGTCGGTCCTGTTGTTTTGTTGCTAGCTACCATTAGCTACTGGTAGCTACATTAGCTAGCAGTGTATAAAGTCCATTATTGAGCCTTTTGTCTCCCCCCCTTACAGGAGCTGTTCCTATTTAAATATTTAAACCAACATATGAAGTCGTTCCTGTTGTTTTGTTGCCAGCTACCGTTAGCTACTGGTAGCTACATTGGCTAGCAGTGGATAAACTCCATTATTGAGCCTTTTCTCTCCCCCCCTTACAGGAGCTGTTCTTATTTAAATATTTAAACCAACATACGAAGTCGGTCCTGTTGTTTTGTTGCTAGCTACCGTTAGCTACTGCTAACTACATTAGCTAGCAGTGTATAAACTCCGTTATTGAGCCTTTTCTCCCCCCCTACAGGAGCTGTTCCTGCGCCTGGTCCCCTACCACTGCCTGGGCTCTCTGTGGTCCCAGCGGGATAAGAAGGGGCGTGAGGGCGTGTGCTGGTCGGTGCGAGCCACCGTGCGCCAGTTCAACCGCCTGGCCAACGCCGTAATGGCGTCCTGCCTCTGGCCCGCCGCCGCCGGCCGCCCCAGGAGGGCTCGGCTGCTGGAGAAGTGGATCGGAGTGGCCGAGGTGGGTGGGGGAAAAGAAGCAGAGGGGAGGTCTGAGGAGGGGTGTTAGTTAGGGATGGGGCGGTTTCTGAAAACCGTCTGAACCGTTGGGTTGGACTGTCTCGGTTCGGTTCGCGTGTGTTGCGTTCGGTTCCTGCTGCTCCTTTTTCTCAGAGGGAAACGTTTACACTCCAGAGCAGAAGGGGGCGCTACTGCGCCCAAAGCCAACCACCAGTAGGAAACAAGAAGAAGAAGCGAAGCAGCGTAGCCGATAAAAATCCAACCTGCCAACAGCAGTTTATATTCTGCTGTATGGACCACTTTGCATTTAGAGGGAAGCACATGTTGGAATTAGCTCTGTTTCCTCTCTGGCAATGGCAGAATCTCACCTACTTTTAACCTAAGACTGTCACAATAATGTATCAAATGTCAGACTGCGTTTTTCTTTCAGTTTTAACCTGACTATACAATACATAATAGATTTTCCTAACATCAACATATACCGAACCGAACCGAAAACCGTGACCACGAAACCGTGAATCGAACCGAACCGTGGATTTTGTGAACCGTCCTACCCCTAGTGTTAGTCTGTAGGAGCCTCGGTCGGCCATTTTGATTAGGTCATGTGACTAGCAGCTTTCTGAGGTGGAAACGAGACTTTACAGTCTATACGAAATCGGAAGACAAACGATGTCCAACTCCAACCATAACCCTAACCCTAACCTGGACACTAACCCTGACCCTAACCTGGACCCTAATTCTAAACCTAAACCTAACCCTAAACCTAACCTAGAGCCTAACCCTGACCCTAAATCTAACCTATACCCTGATCCTAACCCTAACCTTAACCCTGACCCAAACCCTAAACTGAACCTTATCCTAACCCTATAAAGAAATTCTGATTGTTAAAGTTGGAGTTTCAGTTTTACCTCCGAGTGAACAGAATCCCGGAGACATCGGTGGAGATATTCCTGCCCGTTCCTCCAGATCCTCTAAAATACTGAATCTGTCTTTGCTTTCCAACAGGAGTGCCGAGCCCGGAAGAACTTCTCCTCGCTGTACGCCATCGTGTCGGCGCTGCAGAGCAGCCCGCTGCACCGACTCCGGAGGACCTGGCAGGACACGGACAGGTCGGGTTAGGGTTTAAAGGCCGGGGGGGGGGGATAATAAAATAAAATAAATAAAAAGCATAAGGAGGACCTGGCAGGACAC